TTACTTAATTCATGAGTTGATCAAGTTGACCAATTTTGTCTTTTTTTGTTGCTATGTATATTATTTTTCCTTGGACTTAAAAGATATCAAGCAGTAAGTAAACTGGGTTCCACAAAGGGAGGTGCTGGGTGGGAACTTTTATGAACACAGGGTCACCTTACAATATACATCAAATAATAAGAACAAAAACAGCTACAATAAAAACATTGGAAAAGTAATTCAAAATAAGACGAATTTTACAATAGTCACCTGGATTTACATCAACAGAATAATAACTTGGTGTTCAAACAACAAAATGGACCCCATTTGGCCATCATTTTAAAAGCTTTTGGAGGCACCCTTGTCAGTACTTAACTAATTAAAAACATTCATAATAAAAGGTCTTTTATATGGTGAATCAGAAATTTGGAGATTTTCTTGTGTCTACGGAATAAAGAAAAGCCAACATGTGCCATTCATCCAAAGAAGTACAAATTTGGCTGAAAAATAAGTTAAAAAGACAATAATTCAGTCAAAATTGTAGAAGGTGTTTGCCATCAAATTTGTTCAATGTTCCTTTGAGCATATCAGATTGTAAATGTGATGTTGAATAGTGGTTCGTTTTTAATACTAACATTTTGATGAGAATTTAACTTTCAGAGGTTGACCGTACATCTGAATTTTCATGGGTTGTGTTCATCAAAGGACAGTAAGACTGAAAATTTGGTTAAAAAAATGGTATAGAATGTTTCGTCATAACTCAACTGTCCAAAGTTGGAGTGATGGAGCATTAATTGAATTTTCCTTCAGCAAGTTTACCAAGCAATGTTACCAACGCTAACATCAAACTTGCAACCAATACAGGCTTTATCTATTAATTACAAACAACCATTGATTTTATTACATTTAAAGCCAAACCGATCAAGCAAAATGATCTTAGTTATTAGACTTTACCAAATGCAGGTATAGCATATTTTAGTTATTAAACTGATATTATGTAGGCTAAACTCAGACATACTGATTAAAATGTATGTCCAAAATGTTTGAAATAGTGCTACCAGTAATTATTTTTTTTACAACAGCAAAAAAATGCCAATATCTGAATCTATTTTGAAATGTATGTATAGTTAAAATTGTAATATATTTCAAGTCCATCATAAAAAAAAGTTGAGCTTTTATTTGAATAGTTAAAAGCAAAAGTTATCAAAATCTGGAAAGCATTCTTCATTGGCATAGAAATGTTACTTTACTTCATAAAGGAACTGCAAGCTTTATTTTAAAAATAGTGTAGTAAGGAGCTCAAAATACTGATATTAAGTCATCTGATTTGTTCTGGTTTAAAGGTGAACTTTTATCAGATGGGCTAAAAAAACACAATAATAGCATCTTTGTTTTGACTAACTTGTGGACCTAGTCTAGGAGAATTTAAAGGGCTGTAAATATTAGTAAGATTACAATAATTTAGATCAAACACGTTGAATTTTGTTGCTCTTTTCAGTAACAAATCCCTTTCAATTTGCAAGTTCATTCAGTTCGCTGTAATTTATCATTTATTTCGTGTCCATGGGAGAATCTGATGGATAATGTGTTCTCGTCACATTTGGATTTTATAGCAGGATTTCATGTTGGAAGTTTCTTTGTTGGAGCAAGTCTAAGTTCAAATCTAATTTAGCAACAGAGCAAAACTAAAGTTTGGTTGGAATCTAAAGTCCTTAAGTTTGATCGAACTGCTCCTTAGTTGTGGCTTTTAATTTTAGAATTGGTACGGACGCTATAAGGCGGACATACTTCTGAAATTTATTTTATTAAAGATGCGGTGTAAAACTGTTCTTTAAAGGTCAAACATATTCGTCAAGCAAAACTTTGTAAACTTGTGTAGCAAATTCATTGCTCACAAATTGCAAGTCTTATCTGGCAGTCAGAGAAAAGGGTTTAATATACAACCGTGATAGAAATAGATTTTTAAAGTATTTGTTCAGTTTGACCTAAATTAGCAAAAGCACTTGTATTAAAATGAAAGAAATGGCAAGTCTTAGCTGTGGCTGTTAGGAAAACTGTTTTAATGGAACCTCTGTGATAACCAGTGGCTGATCTGAGCTTAGCTGTTTTCTAAAGGAAGACAACTGGAAATTTAACATAAAATCATTTATCTTGGTGTTTAGCAGTTGTGTAAGTGGTTCGTTTCTCAATTTAATCATAGTAAATATAATAATATAATAAATATAATAATAAATTGAAAAAAAGAATGTTTGTGCAGTCTAAATTATTTTACATTTAAAGTAAACATCATTAGAAACTAGGTAATATGTTTGAGAAATATTATGAACTTGAATAAAAGCTAATTTTACTGAACATTTACATTTTTGGTAAATAAGAAGTTACAATGTTTACCCTGCATCTTTCTCTGGGATAATAGATTAGAATTTGTTTTTCACTGTAAGTTAAAAGAAATTTAAAATAAAGCCTATAGGCTGCTCAGATAAGCAATACAGCGATAAGCAATACAGCATGAAATATATAAGGTTGTACCTTTTTTAAGAGTTGATGCATGAAGGGGTTTTATTTATTTTTAAGGCAGGCCTTCAACATCTTATTAATCTTTATCCTACATCACTTTTTTTAAACGTGCAGAAATGAGTTATACCTGAGTTTCTGTTAACATGAGCGACGTGGCCACCTCGAATCGCTTTGGTCTTGACAAATACTTGTTCAGCTTGAACTGATGCTCCAGCTCCAGCAGCTGCTGACTGGTGAATGCTGTCCTCGGTCTTCTGCACTTGCCCAGTAGGTTGGACTGTGTCTGAGCTGCAAAACAAAACGATTACATTTGCACACATCTTTTTTTTTTTTTTTTTGTCTGTGCAAAAAAACAACAACAGAACCCAATTGCAAATGCATAAATTTTTGACATAGGCTGTGTTTAATTTGCGTCTCCTGCAAGTTTTTTTTATTATTATTATTTTATTTTTGAGAATTATTTTATTTTATTATTTTTTTTTTTGGCCTAAATAAAAATTAATGCAACCAAGAGATAAAGTCCAAAGAATAGACCCACTTTCCGTCCCTTCATTTTGAACAAATCTGCTAAAGTGCGGAGAAACAAAAAAGGCAGTATCTGGTGAGCAAATCGCATGTCGGCTGTGGCTTTCACACTCCTCTGCCACTTTCCCCTCTGTCCATTATCTGTCAATTTTAGTTCCTCTGCAGAAAAAATCATCGAACCTATGCATCGAGACGTTACTGACGGAAATGTGTCCCAAAACAGATTAAAAAAAATAAAAAAATAAAATAACATGCAGTTATATTTTAAGCTTTGGTGCATGCTGTCTTAAAGCACCTTTGTATGCGCCTTGGTGTCATTTTGTGCCTTTTCATCTTCTTTAGTTGCATAAATTATATCCGACAGCAGCAATTATAACAGTCAGAATATTTTGAATCTGCTAATTTTCTTTATGATTTTATAGCCTATTTACAACAGTTTACCGGTTCTTCCAAACAAAATACCAGTTTAAAATTTGGTATTTTGTTACTTCAATTTTAACATGCTTCTATTTTATTGATGTCATCAGAATATATTTTTTTATTCTTCTAAAATATCTAGTATTTAATTAATTGTCTAAATAAAACAATTAAAATACGCATTTTATTCTGATTCAAATATTTGAGAAAAATGGGGATAGCCTTCTATTAGGAAGCTGAAACTCACCATTAAAATCGGACATTTTTGGGAGCATCATCCCAGCTGTGGACACTCTCAGCCAGTGATCCAGCTGGAAGGTGCTGGCCGTCAGTTTAATGGGATCACTAGTGTGGTGGTGATGCGGGTAGGAGTAGGACAGTGCGGGATGTTGGCCCGTGAGCGCAGCGGCGGAGTATGAATACATGGGATGACCGTAGAGAGCCTGCGCCGGGATCCCCCCGCTGCTCTGCGGGTGTAGTCCCACCATGCCGTGCGCGCTGTTCAGGAACCCCGGCTTGGGAATCAGACCGCAGGTGGAAACCCTCGGCGGAGACGGCGGCGTCTCGGCGCGTAAAGACTCGGCCGCGGCTGAGAGCTCCGGGGCAGCTCCGCCTCCTGACTGTGGGATGGAGGATGAAGAGGCAGAGGATGAGGAGAGGGAAGTCACAAGTGCCAGCGGTGAGGTCTGCGCCTTGGGTGTATCGACTGCTAGAAGCGCGTCGATGCGAAAGTTTTTGGATTTCTCCATTGGTTCGGCCGGTGCGCGTCCCGGTTGCCTCTGCGGCCGCTAAAGTGATGGAGAAATCAGTCCTGTTTTCTTCACCTTTCACAAGTTGATGATATGCTCCGGAGTGTGAGAGAGGAGCTCCGATTGACACTTAATCCCGGTCAGATGGAGGCGATTGGTGCAGCGTGAAACAGGGGGGCTGTCCCAACGCAGCCATCCAGAGGACCAACAACGCCTCCTGCCCCACCATCCCAAAGCAGGATGGTGGCATTAATATTCATTTCCTAATAACTTGATGATGCAAACGTTTCCTTCTGTGGAATAAAATAAAATTATATATATATATATATATATATATATATATATATATATATATATATATATATATATATATATATATGTATTATTATTATTATTTTTTTTACTTTTGTAAAAAGTAAGGAAGGTCATCCATTCTGAAGATTAACATTTCCACCGCGTAAAGTGTTTCTCTCCTTATCAATGCCTGTTTACTGAGCTTGCTCCCAGGCCATGGATGCTCAAAAGTATTTTCTTGTTCAATTCTGGGTCAAAGCGGATTTTTATACGATCTTTAATTCAGTCTTTTTGAGGATAAACAGTTAAACATCATTAAACTAACAGAATTAACCCCTGTAATGTGTAAAGCATTGACATTGCCTCCATCTCCAAGGGGCTGAAAGTCTGTTATACGCAACTTTTTACATACACTATCTCCTTTTTTTATTCCAAATACAGTTCAGCAGACTTAGACTTTCCATCTTTTAATAAGTAATACAAATAAATTGTAAAATACCGATCTTATTTAGCTTCAAATGGAATGATTAGGGTTTTGGTCAACTGAAGGATCTTTTTTTTTTTTTTTTATGCATATGACTTAGACAACTTTCATTGTCATTTTGTATACAAACAGTTTATACAAAACAAAATATCAAACTTACTTTTAACTTTGAATGAAAAACTGTTGTCTTTATGGAAGACTTTCACTTTTCCTCCCACTATCATTAAACGATAAATGGTATTTTGTTCAAGATAAATAAATGAATAAAAAGAAAAATAAATTAATAAAAAGTTCAAATTAGCTGCAGGCGGAAGGGGTCCGGCCTGAATGAGCCACTTAAAGCTAATTGAAGAGGAGGTCGAAAACCAGAATTATTGACACCCCGTTGCCCTTAACCTGTCTCCCAATAAAGCTGATTGGTTTTTGTCGATTCATCAGCGAAGCGCGGTCTCTGGGACGTTTATTTGCTCGGGGGAAATCAACAAGTCAGCGAGGAGTTTTCTAGTAAAGGATGGCCGTTTAATTGCGGCCCCTGATGATCATGACCAATTAGGGAATGATAACTGGGAGATTGATGTGGGGACTGAGATGTATTCATGGTGGCCTGCAAGGAAACCTTATTATAGCACAGTTTAATTTATTATAAATGTTTTTTCTTTATCAGTTTGGATCGGATGTATTTTTCTTTGTTATTAAAAGAGGTGCTAAGACTTGGGAAACCATTTGCGCACTTTTGGAGTCTAATAAAAAAACTGAGGGTTTCTTTTCTTCGGCTAAAAGCGCAACTTTTGGGTTTATTTGAAAAAAAAAAACAACAACAACACAAACAATCCTTTAAATGCAACTTATCAGCCTCATTTAACAGCTGGTTTTCATGGGCACACAAGTTTAATTTCATTAAAGGCCCCAAACATAAATATTTCTATTAAGGCAACGGTGAAATATGAGGGCATTTACTATTGGCCCCGGCCGATCACCCAGATTTATGGCCTCTTTTCATCACATCTTTAAGCCAGAGAGAAATTAATAAGGCTCCCCGAGCCGGAGCCGGACCTACTAAGCCTTTTTCTTCCCTGAAAGCTGTTAATTTGCCCCGTAATTACGTCCACAATTAAGTAAAAATACAAATCAAGGTGACAAATTGGAGGAGTTTATATATTAATTACCTGCTGGTGGATTAAGTGGGAGCTGCTCTGTCTCTTTTAATGCAATAAATATATTCGCCCCAACTGGCCCAAATGGATGCATTTATGAAATGTTGGAAAATGCTTTTGGAAACATTAACTACTCATAATCAGTATAGTTTTATTTCTCTTTTTATAGCACAATCTCCCCTTGGCTGTTCTTTTACAGTATCAGGGAGAATGGACCATTTAAGCATATATTTTATTTCTCTCATATCAGTAGAAAATCCACTCAGTTTATTACAAAATATCGCATTTGTTGTTTACTGTAACTGCTTTAACAATTTATGTAATTAAATTTCTGATTAACATTTATTCTCTTATTTCCTTTTAATGCGAAGACTTAGAATACATGTTAAATTAGAAAGACTTAATTTAAACTGATTAACCAATGAATCAATGAGCATCAGTTTGTGTTGAGCTGAGCCTGTATTGCACAGGTTCTCATAAGCTCATTTGGGGACAATGTTAAAAGTTTTCATTTATATCACAAAGAACAGCTTTTCAAGTATTGTTTCCAAATAGATTTTTATAAACATCTAATGGACACAAGACTTTTGCATCATCCGATTTATTGTTTTTCAGTTTTACTTCTTATTCACCAATTTGATTTAAATAGAGTTTGCTAATTTGGCTCATCTATCAAATGTAACTTTTCCTATTTCTTTGCATTAACTAAAAGCTTATTTGTATGTTTTATTAATCTGCTGTAAAGCAAATTGGACTTTAACTGTTTTTAAATGTAGTGTAAGTAAATTTAACATTGGGTAAATTTTCTGGCCTCTTTCCTCTGTTAGCTCGCTCTGTTGATATCCAATTTCTAAAAGGTAGTACTGGAAAACTAAACAAAACACTTTAAGTGATGCAGTATTGACCACAGAAAAAACTAAGGATTGATTTGATTGGATAAACTTTTGGCATAAAATTTAAAAATAACAAGCTGTCAGTTTAATGCTCCAGGATGCTCTTTTTTTTTTTTGTGCCTATCTTTCCCTGCCAATCTGCAAAAGCAAGAATAGCTTTGCATCCCTGTTTTATTTTAATTGTGGTCCCGGGCCAGCTGGACTAAAAATGTGGGCAAAAACACCCAAAAGGAAAACAAATTTTCAATTCTAAAGACACACACACCATCGTTATTAATCGGACCATATCTATCATCACACTGCAAAGTTTATTTCTTCTTTTTCTTTCAACCTTAATAAGTAATATTGTGACTCTTAAAAATAAAGCAAATTTATCCAGAATCTCTTGAGAATTATAAGTTGTCTCTTTTATAAAAGTTCATGTAACTTGCAGCTCATTACAAGTTTTTCCAGTTTGAGAGAAAAATGGGCAGCTTGGATTACAAAGGTTGCAGACTCCTGGATTAGCATAAAGTGGTGTTTAATTTGGAGTGAAAGGAAAATAACAAAAGGTTTTAACACTAGTAAATTATTCAAGTTAGGAACTACTTGAAAAAATATAGCTGCACATCTTTGGCAGTATGTCTCTACCTGCTTTGAACATCTGAAAGTTTCATTCTTTGCCATTTTTCATCACAAAGTAGCTCAAACTGCTGGAACAAGAAAATTGTCCCATTGTATTCTGCAGCCTCTATCAAGTTTTTTTATTACTTCCCTACTGAGGGAAATTCTCCCACCTGCACGATCCTGTCACAGAGGTTGCTCAGTTTATTCTAACTAATCACAGACCCATTTTCCACATATTTACAGTCTTCCTTCTAAACTAGTAGCTCTTTTTCATAAAACAGTGTGGATAGCTAAATTATTATTTGTCTAACATGGACCTAAATGTTAAACCCACTTGGAAATTAATTAGAATAGTAATAAATTACAAAATTTTAATTGTGCAGGAAAAAAGAAAACTGAAGAATAAAATAAACTCATAGTAAAAACAAAGTCAGCACAAGTGGGCCTGGAAAAAAGAAGGAAACTGAAGAGAACAGGAGAATCTGACTATACAGTGACTGAACTCAGAGGCTTTGATGCTGAGGAAGTCACAAGTGGGACTGTTAACTAGATATAGAACAGCTGAGGGAGAGCAGTGAGCCAAGACAAGTGAAGACAGATTAACTAGATTAAATATTACCTCAGAACTACAGGAAGATCGCTAAGCTGAAAACACTGAAGTGCAAATCCAAGCGCAAACAAAAGAACAGTTGTGCTTTGGTTTTCAGAGATGGGTTGACCAACCAGCGGAAACAAAAATCCCATAGGGATTATTATGAAAATATTCTCAATGTTTGGCTCTAATCCCAGTTTAATAAAGAAAAATTCAGCAAAACTTTGAAATGGCTTCCGTCAAATATGTTGTGCAGAGCTTATAGTTTCCTTATCTAATATTTTTTTTGTCTTTGCCATTTTTCATAAAGGTTCTGATTCTTTAATGGTGAGACTGCTTGTTGCTGTCTGTATGCCATTTTCTTGCAAATGTAAAAAGTGAATTTTCCTGATGTAGGATCAATAAAGCCCTGTGAGGTTATTTTAAGGACATCAATGCGAAGACCGAGTGTGACTGACAATATAGGGGGAGGCTTTGGAAACTGGCCCAATACTTTTTTCTTCAATTGATAACATGTTAGATGGTTTAGGATTTTATTAAGGTGCGCAACGACGGTTGCAGAACCTCTGCATGGGGGCGTGGTCACGCACAGAGACAGATTTGTCAGTTGAAGAGGGTATGTGTCAGAAGCACAAATTGGCCTTAATACTGCACATGCTCAGTTGGAGCCTCCCCACACCAGCAGGACAGAAAACACATTCACAGTCATCTTATAACATAATTGAAAACATGTGTTTCTGAAATTTGAAAGTAATTTTTTATCATACTGTCCTTACGTTTGTGTAAATCCCTAGGTAGATTAAATTAATTTTTGGTTTACTTCGTATTACATGGTTAACCTGTGCTGAAATATGTGTGTCTAGTGTAATAAAAACTACTGCCCCCAAAAGGTTCTTACACCATGGAGCTTTTTTTTCCCAGTTCTAGTTTTAATCTCTCTTTAAGTAACACTTCTTAATACAATAAAATACTATAAAACTGTACTTTAAGTTTAACACCAATTTCATCTTACCCAGACAGTGAGGATTAGTTGGATTCACAGCACTG